ATTGTCACTTGTCAGTTTTGCTTGTCAATTGTCTTTTTTAATGGTTTATTTTTCGACATCCAGAATTTATTTTATAAATAATTATTATTTATACATTCGAATAGATTTGGTAAGGGTCCTCTATAAAATAGATAACTATTTTCTAAACCATTGTCTTTGTTTCAGATTACAATGCCTGATGTAAATTTATTATTTCATTCATTAAGTATCTTTAGCAGTCGATGCCGATGACACCAAATAAAAAAAACTACAATAAAAACAAAGAATTGCAGACAGGCAGATCAATCGTTGTAAACCAGAAGATAAACATTTAACCGAATGTCCGGCAACATTTGACACCAAATACTTATAAAAGGTAATTATACTTTATCGAACTAAAAATACATTTTAAAAATATTATTTTTTAGGTTTCCTTCGAACTTCTAGGAATTTTAGAAGCAAAAGTAAATACTACAGAAGTGTAAAGAAGAATATAACACCTGAAGTTTTATAAAAAGTGAATCTATAGGTACATGATATGTCAGGTATATCAGAATTCAAGCAGTTCATTCTCTTCAACAGGCTAGATTGCCTGGAAATGTAACCCATCAGTTCAAGTGAAAACCCAGCAGAAACGTTGAGAGAAATCATAGATGATACTCTCGAGTATAATAGAATATCTTGCTAAAAAACACCAGTTGTTTTTTATAAAATCTACATATCGATGGCTCAATCAAATACTGCCACAACTAAAATACTATTATTTCGAGAAATTTCATTTTGAAATTTTGTAAGTCTCTATTATCATTATTTTGTTTTTGACATACTCTTTATATTTTATTTAAAAGCTTCGATATTTTGCTGTTAAATAAAATGATTACGATTATAAAAGTGAGTTGTTGCATAGTTGTAAAAAATTTGGGTGTTTTTGAAGAAAATAACTCGAATTGAGGCAGTTTTAGACACAGTTTGTTGCTACATTTTAAATGATTTATCTTTAAGGATATTTTTGTTTGTGGTGGTATTTAAAGTAAAACCGTAATGATATTTTGCATCCATTGAACCAAAAATGTAATTGCTTTGTTTTTTGACTTGTGGCGGTTTTTGATTGAGCCATCGATATATCTACTTTGGAAATCAAGCATAAAATTTGTAAAATTCAAACAAATTTCAATACACTAACATTGGTTGTTTTATTTAAAACAACAAAGTAAGGCATATTTTTTAATTTCTATATAATTTCCTTTAATTAATAATAGGTAAACAAGTTATCAATTTCTTTTTTATTCAATGTATTGAGAAGTAAAATCTATTTATATAAAAATATAATTTATGCTCTTCTAATAAATTGTCGTATTTAGGTTACATTATAGCACTTTATAAATATCTATGCAAAAAAGTTAAAAGGCTTGATTTAAAAAAGATATATCTCTGCGTCTTAGGTAAGAAATCAGCGAACTTAGCTATCCTCTAGTAATCTAATATAATAATATGTACCTAGTCATTGTTGTATTCGTTTATTATTTTTCACCAATCTAGCTTTATCATTGTTCACCATTTAAGGTTTTAGTGAACCTTTGCAATATTGGTACCTTATTATACTATTTAGCTAATTTTGTCCAATCATTCAGTGCTTTCTAGGTAGCTTCTTCTATCCCACATGTGTACTTGTGTTTGTGATATAAGGTGTGTTCTTTTATTCAATAATTGTTCCATCAGTGATTGATGTAATTTATCTATTCTGCAGTCGTTTTATATTTGAACTCTTATATTTTAGGTTAACTTAAATGATTGATTATCCTCACCATTCGTCTATCACATATCCATCGGCTTTTAAAGCCGATGGATGCCTTGGCTCATTGGTGAACGAACGGTTTGCTGCAAGCGCTGGATACAGCACTGAATAAAAGAACACGCCTACACCTACCTCTACTTTTGTGCTATTGGTACTTGATTTCAAGAACATTTTAATAATAAATTTATAAAAATATTTTGTTTTATTTGAAATTTTCATGTCTCGATTGAGATTTTACTATAGCCTCAATTTCAGCCTCTCTGTATTACATTACACAATGTGTGTCCACGGATGGACTTAATTATACTTGTAAAAATATTTATTTTAAATTAAAGAAAAAGTTATTTTTCATAATTTCTCAATGTGAATCGAATTTATTTAACAAGCAAGAAATTATGAATTACTTTTTTAATTTAAAATAAATATTTTCACAAGTATAGTTAAGCCCATCCGTGGACACACTGTATAATGCTGTAGATCTAATTCACATTATAACATCAATAGAACGTTTCAGAGCAACTTTCGGGGTAAGTACCGTAAAAGTGCTAGTGTGATGTTTTTCGAACTTCACTTTGTAACTTCTGTGAGATGTGCTATAAAAGTCTTGCCGTTGCGGACATTCGGTAGTTGCAGGGAGATAAGGGTTACATTTACAGTACATTGCATGCGAGCTTAAAGAGCCTAAAATTGCAGCTTATTAACGTAGATGGGATGTTTTTGTGCTAGCTGGGTATAATTCTTCTTGTATAATTTAATTATTTACTACTAGGTTTTAATTAAAATAAATCAAATAATTTTCCTCTCCACTCGCCTTTGTTGACAAGATAGAAAAGTAAAAGGCCACTCAGGTCAGACTCGAAGAAGAAAAGAAGAAAGAGGTTAAGAAGAAAACACAGCACATGGATGTTTATCTGGTAAGAAAATAAGTATAATTATTAATTAAATCATTTAAAAATCTAAAAATTAAAAAGGAAATCGTTTGTTTTAAACTAATAAAACCTATCAATTATGTTTTAAACTTCATGTTTTCGATTTACATTCAAACAATCCCTTTCTTTTAGACATTTTGTCAAATGATGTACCTACCTATTTAAGAAAATGGCTTTACTAAAAGCTAACTAATATGCTGCAAATTCGAGATGATGTCAACACAATTATTATTGTAACTAAGAGGTGAGAAAACTTTCAAAGCAGAAGAAAAGTTTCTATTTGTACTGCATGAGACGTTAGCAAAAGTAGAAGGCTATTTAGAAGATACAAATATTTTTAAAGAAGCTGTAAGTTTTACTTTTATTAAATAAAATAGAATCGTTTTGTAACGTTTAAGAAATAATGCATTGAAAGATGTTTCATAAGTTATTTCTCTTTTATGTTTACAAATACATATTTTTATTGCAATTTTAGATTCAGCAGTTACCAAAACCAGGGACAAGGACATGACAAACATATAAAAAGATGGTTCGTTTCCATAATTTCTAATACCCTCACGAAAGAATTCACATAATATGATGGCATGAAAGTAAAATGGTAATTTAAAGGAACAATGAGCAGTTTTTTGTTTATATGTAAGTATAGGGGTAAAGTATATTAGTCAATGCATATTTTCATATTAGCTAATAATATTTTATCTAAAAATTTTACATTTTTAACTATCACTTTTGCCTGATCAGGCGTTTATTAAACGATTGATTTAAGACTCAATATTCGTATAAAATGTAATTTTTTTTTTAGCTGCTGCTGAGAGTGACAATGGTGCTGCTTAAAAAGTAAGCGAAATAGCCTTAAGAAAATGGCTGAGAAGGTCAACAGAAAGGAGTGCGTATAAAACTAATACATGCTTGATATTATTTATGACAATAAAAATAAGTCTATAGTTGCAATTATTTTATTTCATATTAATATAGGTGGTGATGTCTGTCAGATGTCCATAAATTGTCCAAAAGCAATACAAAAAGAGTCCATATATGGACCTTTCATGGAGTCCAAATGGACGTCCAGGAGTGGGACATTTGTATAGTCCAGTGGATGTCCATTGGATGTCCTTTGGTAAAATGCTGGACGTCCTTTGGACAGCCGATATGTCCATGAATGGACTTCCGATGGACATCCAATGGATTAATTTGTGCTGTCTGGGTTGACGCAAGGCCTATTAGCTCAGGTGGTAGAGTATCAAACTTTATCAACTTTGCCATTTGAGACCTGGCGAGCGACCGCGTTCAAATCCTTGCGGGGGCAGAATTTTTTTTGTTTTTTTTTTATTTTTTTTAGTTTTTTTTTTTGTTTAGAAAATATGACAATTGAATAAATACGATTATTATTGATTATTTTTTTACTTGTCACATAATGTCAAACGCATCATTTCTATTTTGATTTATGTAATGTCCATATTAACAGTAAAATCGATATGACGATTAAATTATTAAAATTGACGATTAACTTAGATCCTAGATATTTATTTTTAACAATTATTAAAATAATTTTAAAATAACTACATAACATACATCTCATTATTTTAGCTTTTTATTTTGTTTAAAATTAAAATCGAATTAAAAATGCATTTGACATAAGACCCATTAGCTCAGGTTGTAGGGTAGTTGCAATTTGACCTTTGGCTCACGACGGGTCCGCGGGCCCGCGTTCAAAATTTGGTGGTTGCAGAATTTTTTTTAATTTTTTTGTTTTTTTTTTTGTTTCGAAATATATGAAAATTGAATAAATACGATTATTGATGATTATTTTTTTAAATACATTTTAATTAATATAATAATAACAACCTGGTTTTACATTTTTTGATGAAATTATTTTGTGGTCGTAGGAAAAATATTGTACTTCACTTGTGTGAAAAGTGATTTTCCACACTCGTAATGTAATATACTATTTTTTAAGGTATACTTTAGAAAACTTTTTTGTTGATCATTTGATATTTCGTGTCGTCTTCCAACTGTGTTATAGTTTATTTGAAAATAAATGACAACAAAATTTTTATGACTCCAATTAAATCAACATTTTTTGTGGATCACTACATATTTTCTGTCGTCTGCCAACGGTGTTACTGTTAAAAACATTTAAATTTATTTAAATAAATTAAAAGGTTATGAATAACTTGTATGAATAGGTAGTACGTTGGGTTTATTTATAATAATTTAATTTAAATATAATAATAAATTTATAAAACTGTTCCACGTTATATTAAAATAATAAAATTATTTAAATCTAAGATACTTACTCCACCTCCCGAAAGAGTCTGTTCATGTTGCCACTTGTCCTTGTCTAATGTGTTAAAATTATCTTGAAAAATCAAATCGCCCGAACATATTTTTCGTGGAGCCTTAGGTCCACTGGCCGTGGTAACCGAATATTTACAATCAGCGTAAACATAAATTGGAAACACCAAAAATAATATAATTCTATACATTTTGAAAAAGTTTAATAGAGAGACATACTTCATTAATAATAATATATCTGAAACTGAAATAAATTCAGCTGAATTTTTTATTTATCTGTTACCTTTGAGAGGGGATCTGGGAAAACACTTAAATAGTAAGGGCGATTAAAGTAAATAAATTATTGCGAAATTTTATTATATTTACTTAAAAGATAACAATAGCGATACAATTTTGATAAAAACTTTGTTTATTTTAAATATTTGAATGCATCATGTGCATCAAGATAAGACACCTAATAATATTACGTTTATAGGTCAGTATTTTTGTTTATTTAATGAAAGAAAATTTGTAGTGCACCATATTTGAAAAGATTCAATAAAGTCAATAAAATCCACGTAAAACGAATTAATTTTATATAACTTACTTACTCTTTATACCGTGAAATTTGCTTCATTAATTCTCGACTAATTGTTGTTTCAGAATAACGGAAATTAACGTAAGCGTACTCATCCTTAGAATTAAAATTCGGCCCTGCATGATTTCGGTTTTGGTTCAGACGTGAAGTAAGACTTTTTGCCATTAGAAGGTCACTATTAGTTTAGTTGCTTTCCTATTTTGTGAGGTTTTGTTATTTTTAAACATTAATAAATCAACACGTAATGAAGCAAATTTAAAATTGTTTTGCACGGTTGAATAGAGAATAAAACCCCCTTTCAAATGAGCTATCACTCACCACCCCATGCCATTAAAATTTTTCGAAAGGGTTGTTCCCCTCCAGTAAGGGATGAAATTAAGGGTAAACCAATCATACAAAAATGTACATTGTAGAAAATAAAAATCGACCTGTCTCGGCGATTTTCCTAACACTATGCAGAAGCCCTTATTATCTCATCAAACAGCCTTCAGTTCTAACATGAACGTTTAGGCCATCAAAATAAGCAGCACATTAAACGTTTTTTTTATCGCAGTTAGGAATAGATATTTAAGTAGATAAGGAATTCTGCAATGCATGCATGTATGGCGCAAGCAACATCGAAAAAGTTTTCATGAGAGATCAAAAAGAGCTGAGCGATCTGGAGAATTGATCTATGTCGATGTTTGCGGTTCGATGCCTGCGAAGTCCTTGGGTAAAGCACGTTATTTCTTATTTTCAAAGACAAATTCAGTAAGTTTCGCACTGTCTACTTCCTTCAGCAAAAATCGGAAGCTAAAGACAAACTTAAAGCCTTCTTAGCTACATCAAAAGCACTGGGACATACTATAAAAGAAGTAATGGTAGATGGTGGAAAAGAATTTGATAATAAAGCATTCAAACAAATTCTTAAAGTACAGGGTATTAATTGCAGAATTATGATGTCATATTCACCTGAACAGCTGGGTGGTGTAGAGTTAGAAAATCGTACTTTGGTGGAGTTAGCAAGAAGTATGTTGCATGCAAAGGGTTTTCCTGAGGAATTATCAGCAGAAGCTGTAAATACAGCAGCCTATGTTAGAGTAGAAAACCAGACACCGATATTTCTTTGGATGGGGGAGCAACCTCCAGTAAGTCACTTGAAAGTTTTTGGAACAGAATGCTTTGTCCATGTTACAAAAAAGAAGAGGACAAAGTGTGACCGAAAAAGTGAAAGGAGGTTTTTGGTTGGTTATTCTGGTAATAAAGATGGATTTAGTATATAGTTTCCTCACAAAAGGAATGTTACTCTAAACAGGGATGTTATCTTTAAAAATGAAGAAACAGTTAAAGATTCAGTTATGTTTTGCGACAATTTTAAAATCTCAGACAACCTAGATATTCCTTAATCTCCCATCATACGAAACAAAGAATTGGCAGATGAGGCACCGTCAACCTTTACTACAGATAGTTTTTCTGGAAGTCAAGAAAAGTTATAGGAAAAAACAATAAAGTCTGGGTTATATGATAGATCCGAAATTAACAAACCAGTCAAGTATGATGTCTGTGTATTCATAGCAACTGAAGAACCTGCCACTATAGAAGAGGCACTTTCTTATGATTTGGCAGCAGAATGGAAACAAGCGATGGAGGAAGAAGTAGAATCTCTTCTTGAAAATCAAACCTGGAAACTTGTAGAAAGGCCGCGTGAACGAAAACTGATTAAAAATCGTTAGATTTTTAAAATTAAGGAAGACTGTCTGGAAAACGTCCGTTATAAGGCAAGATTTGGTTGCCAAAGGCTACTCACAACAAGAAGGGATTGATTATGAAGAAACATTTGCTCCTGTTGTCAGGTTATGATACAATAAGAACTGTTTTAGCTATTGCTGTTTCAGAGAATCTTCATGTCACTCAATTTAATGTTAAAACAGCCTTCTTGTATGGTAACCTGGAGGAAGAAATCTACATGGAGCAGCCTAAAGCATTTGAAGATGGAACGGACTGAGTTTGTAAACTTTCTAAAAGCCTTTAAAAACGTTTACAGAATTCCTGAAAGAAACGAATTAACTTCAGAGTACAGCCGATTTTTGCTTGTTTTTGAGGAAACCACCTGTTGTACGTTGATGATTTAAACGTAAATAAAGAATTCTTACAAAAATTAAAATCTCAGTTTAAGGTAACGATAACCTCAAATTTAAATAGTTATTTGGGAATACAAATTCACCAATTTGATAACAAGATTTTTATCAATCAAGCTATTTACACGAGAAAGATTTTAAATAAATTTAGTTTGGAAGATTGTAATGCGGTAGCTATAACCATGAAGAAGAGGAAGATAAGTCATGATGGTGGGTGAGGTTTTCCGGGTTTTCCTCACCTGTAAGTCAAATGGCACCATCAATCATCTTTAAGTCGCCCCGGAGCGCCACGGCAAATAATAATAATAGTCGTCCCTTCCCCTACACAAGTCGTTCAGTCGACTTCAGGGGTTGAAATTCACTCGTAAGGGGGTGAATTAGGGAGAGTATTATTATTTTTATTATTATTATTAATCATGAAGACCATTACCTAGACCCAGTTTATCCCTTTAGATCCGCTATTGGTAGCTTGATCCACTTGTCGGTTGAAACCAGGCCAGATATAACTTTTGTAGTACACTTCTTAAGTTATGGCTAAATCGAAAAACCAGCACTGGAAAATGTTAAAACGCATTTTTAAATATTTGAAGGGCACTATAGAATTTGGCATACTTTATCAAATCGATCAAGACACTTTAAAAGCTTATAGTGATTCGGACTATGCTGGAGACTAGAACACTAGAAAGTCCACATCAGGTTTTGTTTGTCTACTCAGTCAAGCAGCTGTCAGTTGGTATTATCAAGAAGTATTAGAAATTAAAAATTTAAAAAAAACCGACTTTAAAAACGTGCAGATGCGATCACCACATCTTAACTAAATTTATATGGGACCACCCCTGAGGTACCCCCTTACTAACAAAAAAAGAATCATGTAAATCGGACAAGGTGGTAAAGCATTATCGCTAAACATATATAAAAAATGAAGAGTTTGAGGATTTTCTCATGGACACAATTATTAGATTTTAACCAAATTTATATGCGACCACCCCTGAAGAATTCCCTTTCTAACAAAAAAAAGAATCATTGAAATCATACACCATGTTAAAGAATTATCGATGAACATACATAAAACAAAAAATATTGCGACGAATTGAAAACCTCCTCCTTTTTTTAGTTTACCTTGTGTACACTCTGATGTACTACAGGGTCGCAGAGCAGACTGTGTTACCAAAACTGGCGCCTGAGCATCATCTTAGCGCCACACAGACTCCCTGATTCAGTGTAGGTGAACCCTTACACTTACTCAAAGAAAATACTCCCATATTGATAAAGAGGCATATGCAATAATTTTAGCAATTAAAAATTTTTATCAGTATTTATGTTTAAATAAATTTAGCTATAAACTGACCATGTGCCATTGGTACAAATATTTTCACCCACAAAAAGCTTACCTGTTTTTTCTGCAATGAGATTGCAACATTATGCAATGTTCCTACAAGGTTTTAATTATGTAATTAAATACCGAAACACTAAATTACATTTAAATGCAGACTCTTTATCCAGATTATCAATTCCAGAAACAACTTCAGTTTCAAATCCTGATGTAGTAGATATTTTTGAAATAAGTATAATTGAAAGTTTGCCAGTTACAGTTGAATTGGTAGCTAAAGAAACAAAAAAAGACCCTGTTCTCTTTAACATTTTACATTCTTTAGAAACTGGTACTGATGTAGATCAGCATTTAAATCCTAAAGTAGATTTAAATGAACTGGGTTTACAACAAGGGTGCATTATGCCAATGCATAGGGTATGGATTCCTAAGGAATTGCAGAGCCCAGTTTTGAAAGAACTACACTTGGGTCATTTTGGTATTTCCAAAATGAAAGCATTAGCTCGATCGAGGCTATTGCTGGTGACCCAATATAGATAAATCTATCGAAGATATATCAAGTAATTGCATTGAATGCAACTTAAGACGAAATAATCCTCCTAAAGTAGAAACACACATTTGGGAATTATCTACACAACCGTTCGAACGTGTATATGCTGACTATGCTGAACCAATATTCGGATTTTATTTACTAATCCTCGTAGATTCCTATACGAAATGGCCAGAAGTCAGGCTAGTACATGATATGACGGCTGAAACAACGATTAAAGCCTGCAGACAAATCTTCTATCAATTTGGGATACCACGGTATTTTGTAACCGATAATGGTATTAATTTCAAATCGCACAAATTTCAAAATTTCTTGAAGTTGTGACAGGCTTCCGGTTCACCTAAAGTAAATCAGGGAGTCTGTGTAGCGCTAAGATGGTGATTCCCGAATAGGGGTTGCTCAGGCGCCAGTTTTAGTATCACAGTTTGCTCTGTGACCCTGTAGTACACCAGGGAAATACCACCACTACAGCCGACTGTTTACATTTTAAAAATTAAAAAATGTCCTACTTGTACCTTGACAAATACAAGTAAATAATTGATACGAAATCGACTCTACAAATGCCCATTCGGATTTCGGCAAATATAGAAATATTTTAACCTACGAGGGTACTCGCAATTGTTAAAAAACGTGAATTCCTGGGAAACAGAAATACGGGGAATTTTCTACATGTCCTCTGGCGGGAATTAATTAAAAAAAATACATTTTTAAAATTAATTAAAAATAAAATTTAGTGACTTCGTC